ATTTCTCTATATATTATAAATAGCTTATATTTGTAACTTTTAGTGGGGTTCAAATTGAATATAAGGATTTAATTATTCTCATCAATGTCCTTTTAGCTTGTTTTAAACACTTTTTTTTTATTTACGTATTTCAAAGTGATGACATCGTTTGTGAAAGCTAGCCAAGTAATCTTATTTTTTTAAAATTTAGTGAATAGGTTGTAGTCTAAACTAAGGATTATGATGAATTTATTTACTAAATTTTTTTCTTTTTACGTCCCATTATAAATAGATTTCTTTGATCGATGTTTATGGACCTCAATAGAAATTATGCAGCCGTATAAAGTTCTTTACAGATTTTCTGTTTTATGATAAATTCATTTGCTTTCATTTTAATTTATTTCTCGCATGAAAAGGGGATTCCTTTAATCAAGTATTCTGAATCCTGATGAAAATCATGCATGTACCTATAATATTTGTTTAATTAGATTCCTTTTTTGTTGAATACCTCTATATAACTTTATGCACCGTAAAAAAACAAAAAACAAAAAACATGTCGGTTGTTCTTCCATTTTATTCATCTCCATTATCACTTCGTTTCGTTTTTCATCATTCTTATAATCTTGCCAAAGACATGGCCGTTTACTCAATCCTCACAAGTTTTGCCTCAATCCTCCTATTCTTTTTCCTTGTTAATTAGTTTCCTTGTGACCTTATTTTCCATTTTTATCATGAAATGAAGACTAGAATTAGTAGTAGTAGTAATAATAATAATAATAATAATAATAATAATAATAATTAGTACTATTAAAAATTAAAAAGTAATCTGAAATTCAAAATATTACGTTGTTAGACTCATAAAATAATGGTGACATATAAATTCTCTTAAAAATAAATTATTTTTCAAAAAAATTAGTGATGGATTACAATGATATCCACCCTTGATTGGGAATCAGATATTATATCAAACTGAATTAGCATTAATTTTCTATATTATAGTTTAATGAGGTTTGACTAGAATTGATTGAATTCATATAGTCAAACTTAATCTCTAAATGAATGACGAATGTCGCATTGCAATTATCCTCTCATGATGAGATGAATTCACAATTATACGATTTCTATTTTGTGTTAGCCTCCCATGCTATAAATAGAGGAAATTGGCTAAAGAAGAAACTCACCCAGAACCGAATTCCTTTATCACATTCACTCTTCTCATCTCTTTGTCTTTTTCTCTCTGGTGAGATGCATTTGTTGTACCTCATAGATAGGACTCTAATAGTCCAATATCTGTGATTGTGTGGGTTTTTCGGGTTGAATACTTCACACACGGATATTTGGTATGACTCTAACCCAAACTTCATCTGTTTTAGAATATTTATTTATTCTTTTATTTTCAAAATTTTGAGTACCTCATCTATACATTTTTGAGTTATTTTTCACATAAGCCAATTAGGTGAAATAAAAAGAGAAAATAAGACATTGAGATAGGTTGGGCTACCTTCATAAATCCCACAATTTCAAAGGTGAGTCATGTATTTATATAAGTAGGATTGTGAAAGCCACTTGAAAACCATGATAAACTAGACAAATAAAAAAAGGTTAAAAGACAAAAATGTCTTGCCATTTTTTTGTGAGGAGCGCTTAGTATCTAAACTTTTTTTAGGAGCAATGTCATATTGAAATTTTAAAAAATGGTGCAATTTTATCCACTGTTAAATTTAGAAAATTTTGATTGTTAAATTAAAATTTGACAAAGGGAAGGACATGTGACGCGATCAGCTCCTCCTTCTTCTTACTCCACCCTCACTCGTTGTATATTCCCATGCCTGCCAACTTCCGTCTCTCTCCTCCCAAATTCTCTCTCTAGACATTGCAGGAAAACAAGCTAAGGGAAGTGCTCAAAGAAGCTTCAGAAGATCGGAAACTTGTCATATCTCAAGACGTGAAAATTTTCTCGCCTGAAAACAATGATGAAAGCCTCGGGAGATCCCGGTCACTTGCCAGACTTCATGCTCTACATGAATTTCTTTGAGCCACTGCACTTGTTGTCAAGCGCATATTTGAGTTCGAGGAAGAAATTCCTTCTCTTCAAGAAGCCTTCAACAATTCCTCACGTTATACCCCAAATACCAGTCATCGAAGAAGATCGATTAGTTAAGTTCTGATGAGTATTCGCACTTGTCCCCAAAGGCCTTGATTAGTCTAGATTTTCACCATTTTCTTTTGTTCAAACCATTCACCACTAGGAGTGCTCTACATTTAGTTTGTCTAAGATAACTGCAAATTTGAGTAACCATTCTCTTTATGGTGGTGCTGAAAAGGGAACCATGGAACATGATATAAAACTAGAATCATGGATTACTTGAACATACTTGGGAAAGTCCACTTGCTAATGTTGCTTGGGAAAGTCTGATCCATGTTTCGGGCCAAAATGAAGTTGTAGAGAATTTTGGGATTTTTTTTTGGGGGGGGGGGGGGGGGGGAAGAGAAGTTGGGAAGCACGGTCAAATTTCACAGTCAACATCGTCTAGATTTAACAGTAGTATGAAATCGCATCTTTTTTAAAAATTTTGAGAGAACATTGCTCTAAAAAAAGTTTAGGATATTAAGTTTTTCTCACAAAAAAGTTTGAAGGAATTTTTTCTCTTTAACCAAATAAGAAAATAGGTTAGATAAAACAACCACTTTACTTGTCTCAACTTGGATCCTTTATTGATTTATTTTATATTGTACAACGTTGAGATGATCCCTTTGATTGAGTCTTCAACATTCCTTTCTTGTTTTTCCTTTTCTTCCTCTAGCCTCTATGTCCAGCACTCTCTGCTCAGTGTTTAGCCTTCCTCCCCACTTCATCATTTAATCCCTCTCTTCAACATCATTAGTTAAGCTTATTCCCCAGCTAGTTTTGGGTCTGCTCCTCTCTGTCTGTATTGCATCTCTTATTAATTTTGAAGCTTTAACTAAATTAAGAATAGTGAAATTGGTTATTAAAATGGTAATAACAATCATAAACCAGTCTTACTTATAGTGGTTGGTATGATTTACTTAATTTTGAATTGCATTCTGAAGTAGCATTGTGCAATCAACCTATACAATTATAGTAAATGTGGCTAGACACAATCAATGGGCTGCGGTGAAGATAAATGGAAAGGGATAAATTGGGCTAGAATTGGTAGAACAATCATTTCATCTGATCTGACTCAGAATCCCTATATACTTATTTTATATTGCACACTGTTCCTATCTAAATCCCTAATTGGCTAATTCAATTCGTTCACCCATGAGTCTTCAATAGCATGGAACCTTTCATGTTCTTCCTTCACCACTCTAGCCTCCATCTCTTTCACTCTATCTTAATACTTAGCCTTCTCGATAATTTCATTAGTTTTTTACCTTTATTTTCATATTTCCATCTCTTTCACTTCTATGCTCTTCAAGATTTACTCCTTAAGCTCTTCTCAGTTTATCAAAATCTAATTATCTAGTTCTTGTATTTATTATAGCTTTTAGGTGTTTGAAATGAAGGATTTTTTTTTTTTTGAAGGAATGTCTCTCTTTTATATGCATATTAATAGAATGTGAGGATTTATTATGTGTTTTTTTGGTACTAATCAAGCCTCTATATGCATGATTTTAATCTCCTTTTTCGTGGATTTTGTAGTGATAAGCATCCTTTGTGGAAGCTAATCTCCATAGTAATCTTCTTATCACCTATAAAATTAAGAGAAATGGTCGTGATCCAAACTAAGGATTATGATAAATTTATTTCCTAAGATTGTTGTGCTTTTATCTCTCCCTTCCTTATAGATAGATTCCGTTAATAAATGTTCATTGAACCCAATAAAAATTATGTCTCCAAATAGCCCTAATAAAATTATTCTTACATTTTTCCATTTTCTCTCCGCAGATTCTTTTAGTCAATATTTCTGGATTCTAATAACAATGACGCTCTTAGCTTAGATATGTTCTGATGCTGTATACGTTTATATAACTTTATAAACCTTCAAATCTATGATGACTTGTATCCATTTGAAATACTACTATAACAAAATTCATCTGTCATGGGTTATTTTTGGAATTAACTGTGTTTATGGTCCCTAACCGACATTTTGCTCATGCAAAACCTAATTTTGTTTTCCAGGGACTGCGGGGACAGAACACCCTCCAAACTTGCTAAGTCATGCCTCTTTTTATTCAGATAATGTGGAATTGATAAACAATTTCGAGATGTGGAATCGATAAACAAATTCGAGATAGTTTGTCATTGTTTTTCATTATTATTGGATATGTTTTTTGAATGATCTTTCTAAGAATAATAATGGGGATTATTTTATCATACCCTAGATCTTTTTTCAAGGGGAGGTTTGAATTTCAAAGGGTCTTATTAGTTTTATGAAGAAATTATAAAAATATGAGACATTAAGTTAAGGTCACAATTACTTGTAGGGCACTCGAAGAGGTATAATTGTCTTTGTATGGCCATAATGTTAGTATAAATTGAGGTTGAAACTTGAAAGATAACATTAAGTTCAAGTCTGAGTCTCAAATAAAGCATTTTTCTCCCTAATACATATTTGCTCATGCTATTTTATGAATATGGCTGCGGACCTTAAATGAAACATAAAAATAGTGGTTTTAGTTATAATCTTGTTTGATCATATATGTCGGACAATTTTGTCTGCTTAGGGTATCTTAAAAGTGCCATTCTTAATTAATTAAGTACTCTTAATAACATACATGAAAATTCAGTTTGTTTAATTTCTTTCCATTTCTAACTAATTTTTATTCTTTTTCTTTCTTCAAAGTTTTACTTTTTTATTTTTTTTCATAACAAATTGCATTGGAAAGGAAGTGGGAAGGCAATTAGTACATGGGGAAAACAAAATAAAAAACGATCCTCAAAAATCTCGAGTGTTGAAACTATTCTACAATCTCTGTTTATAGCATGCATTTACTTTAACTCAGCTCTCATAGTTTACTCCTTTTTTTTTTTTTGTCTTTTTTATCCGCACAGGGCCATGGCAAGGTCAAGAAGAAATGCAACAAAAAGTGGACCAATGAGTGAGCAAGAAATTGATAATATGTATGAAGCTATGATGTCTGAACTGAACAGAATATACTCAAACATAAATGAAGTGATGAACCAAGTCGTGGAGCTCACAGTGGCGATCAGTGCTCTCCAGCCACTTGACCCAAGGACATCTGTCTTCTGCATGATTTCAGGATTCCTAATGCGAGGACACTTGTTGAAGATATTGCCTAGAATAAGACAAAATAGAGAAGAACTAAAAGAGATCCTTGTGGAACTTGAGGCTGCTCTGGAAGACAAGAATAGGGAGATTGCTGAGTTTGAGGCTAGGTATATGATGTTCAGGAATGAAAAGTTTAATTATATGCTATGATCAAGGTGTTATTGATATTAGAGAGAGAACTTTTTCTCTTTCATCTCTTGTGGGTTTTTACAAGTTGAAGTGAATGAACACTCATTACTTCCTAGTACCTCATGAATAGTTAATTGTTCACAAACTTATTTTGAAATAATAATGTTTTGTTTGTTAATTATTATGGACGTTATCCTTAGTTAAAAGGGGTTTCTGAGTTTTGATTTATTTCATTGATTTTAGTTTGAGAATTAACACTAAACTAATTAAGTTCTATTGTTTTTGTAAGAACAGGGGCAAATTAAAACCCAAAACTAAACTTTACATTAGAACAATATCTCCAAACAAGTATTCCCTGAGCTCGTTGGGTGGGTCGCAAGTTCTTCACAGGTCGAAAAGTTTTCAAAAGATACTGTTCCCACAATGATTAATTAATGCAAAAGAGAGTCAAAATTTACCATTAAGCTTTGAATTAATTTGAGGAAAATCTAGTTGAACTTAGTTTAAAAGTAGTGAAAAATAAAGTGAAAAGTGTTTTAAAGCAAGTGAAAGTTGGTTGAAGATTTGAATTAAAGAGTGACAAAATCTAAGATTATCTCTCCCTTTTATATTTCATAAAACTTAAATTAATTCCTCTCAAAAAGATTTTTTAATAAAAAAAGTATTATTCTAAAATTTTAAATTACTTGAAAAAACTTTATCAAGTCAAAATCAAGTATTTTGCTAGCATAAAAAATTCTCGATCTCTTAAAAAATAATTAATAAAACAAATTTAAAGCACTAATCTTAATTTGATTATGAAGGGTCAGTAAAATATCAAAACTATCCATTTATCTTTTAAAATTTTAAGTCCAACATTATTTTATCTAAATTCTACAGCTAAGTCCACTTTCTTAGGCATAACCCAAGTAAACACGTCAATCTAAATAGTAACCAAATATTTAAAAGCATTAAGCAAGGAATTAAACACACCCCCCCAGCACATACACACATTGGCTTTCAAAAGAGAGGAATAGTAAAGTTTTAATCCATATAAAGGTTAGAAATAACCCTAGAATAAGATTATTAGCCATCCATGTTCAAAAAACACGCTAAAAACATAATAATGTTCAACATAATAATATTCAACACCCATATTAGAAACAAGAAAACTAAAAGAAATCCATTTGGATTTCTTTATATCTAAAAAACCCAAAACTCTAACAGAGCTTGTGCCCAAGAACCTCTGGAAATTGAAATATGTTGGGACTAGAGTCTTGGAAATGAGCTTATGTAACCCTATTTTTCAGTTTAGCGACCAAAACGCACAATAGCACTTATGCACCATTTCCACGGCTAACAGTTCATGCATTGTGGTGGATTGCTTCTATGATGTGCACTGTAGCACATGTGTAGCTAGTGTTTTTCCCCTTCTCTGTGTCATGAGCCATGACAAAATGTGCATGTGCTATGGCACATGGTATAAAAAGTTAATTCTTCATTTTATGATCCAATTCTTGTTATCTTTTGCTTCTAATTCTATCCGTAAGCTTTATTTAGCTCTCCATTAGCATGATTGTTCAATAGAGGTCACTTAAAACAACAAAAACAGTTATGAGATTTTTCAAAGACGAAATCAAGGCAATAGTTTTGTAAAAATTGCCAATAAATCCTATCACCAAAGCCCATCTTCCTTTATTTGCATCCAAAATATTCACATTTGAACCAAAAAGTATATGAAAGTGTAGGAAAATGTGTTGAAATAGTATAAATTTCTACAGGTTGTCAATCACTAAAATACGCCACCCCATAATCAATTTTAAGACTATCATTTGTAAACTAGTTTGCAATTTCCCTCCCCATATGTATGCTACACACTCGCATGCCAATCTATACACATTTCTCTCTATATCATATTCCAAAAACTAGAACCATCAAAATTGTTATCTAGGTTTGAAAACAAACTAGTAGCTTTCTCCTAATTCAACGCCTTCCATATACTCTTTTCGTGTGAGAAGTCCCTTAAAACATGCATGCTACAACCTCTCATATTCATAAGGGCAATTCACCTCTTTGCAACTTCTTGGTTTAAGATCCAATCGACCACTAACTGAAAAAAGTTTGAGAGATTCTTATATCTCACATGAATCCAGACCATACTAGAAGCTTCATCACATCCACTAGTACTTTGATTCTCACAAAATATTGCAATATTCTGCCATTCAACACTAGATTCCCTAACATCACCATCAGCCCTATATTTAAGATGAGTGTCACATTTTTTTTAATTCATAAACCTTCCATGATCCTGAAGACTTAACAAATTCCCTAGAATTGACCAAGATCATCCTCACAAGATACATTAAACATATAAATATTGTTAATAGACATTTTAATCAATTTTGAATTTTTTTAATAAAAAATAATAACTTACAATATAAAATAATTTCAAGGATCTTATATGTGATATAGCTAACCTCTAATCATTCTCTACCTCATAACAAAAAGATGAATTTGAATAATTTTTCATATTCTTCTCAAAATTCAATTTCATAGATATTTTAGAGTGTATAGATTTTTTATGTGCTTATTGTAATAATTGGTTATAAAAATCTTGTTTGTGACTTCTTTACATGATGACAAAAAATTGAATTTGAAATATCAAATTTTATAATATTTTAATTTTACCAAAATATTTTTGGGGCCAACAAATGTCACCGCAAAAAGTTATTTTTGGTGGCAACTATTTAAAATCACTATTAAAAGTTCCTTTTTGATGGTGATAATTAAAAGTCGTTACTAAAAGTCTAATTTTAGCATTGACTTTTTGATGGCGACATTGTGTCATGACCAAAATAATGTTTCATTTTTGGCAACAACTTGACTTTTTTCTATCATGACCAAAATAATGTTTCATTTTTGGCAACAACTTGACCTTTTTCTTGCCATTAAAAGTTGCAGCCAAAAGTCTTTTTTTTTTTTGCAAGTAGGTTTCGCCACCTTTATAGGGCTAGTTATATTGGCAAGTCAAATGTTTATGCAAGTAGGTTTATGCAAGCCACTTTTGGGTTAGAGTAGGTTTATAAGAAAGAGAAGAAACTGGCCCAGACTACCTATAATCACCATTTAGGCTTACTCAACTTAGATCTATATAGATTCATTTTATAGTATCTTACTGAGCCAATCCTTTCAACTAGACTTAACATTTTGAACCCTATCTTGTTCTTGCTTAAATCTATCTAGAGTCCTTTTTCAACACTCTTATCCCACTACTTAGCCTTACTAATTACTCTATAACATCTCAATTTTTTTTAGGATCTTAAATTACAATTTATGGCATAAATAAAGTTTTCTTGCAACTAATAGTGTTAGGCACGTAATCATGATTATTTCTAGATATTTAGAGTGATAAAGTTGAGGTTTGGAGATGAATTAAAGGAGCTTTATGTGGTATTACACACCTTTGTCCATGAACATAGCACCAAAGGGTGTCTTTTCTCGTGGATGAACTTTGAAGGGTGGGAAGTGCCCTATCTATATGCAATGGCACATCAACAAGACTTGAATATGATTCATCTACTCATGGACGTGAAAAAAGGAGGCAAGCCTGATTTAAATATACCTTTATTGCCAGCGGATGTGAAATGAAAAGGCACAACCATGTGCGGATGAAGGTGTTTATATCAATCTGTATTTTGAAAATTAAATCAGAACACAAAGGGAAAATGGGAAGAGAAGGAGAGTAGCAACAGTACTCTTCTAAGGCATGATATTTCAGTGCCTTTAGGGTGATTTTGAACTTATAAATCACTTAGGGTGAGTTCCTAGCTCCCTTCCCTTCCTTTCATTTCTACACTAATTTCTCTTTGATTTGTAGGAGATTTTCTGTTAGGTTTTCCTAAGGGTAATGGGTGACCAAATTTATGATGCTTAAATATGGTTGTTAAGGTTGTTGGTTGTACATATAATTAATGATCTAGAGTACTATTTTATTGATGGAATTCAAATTTGAGACTTAAGAGTTAAACCCTAAGCTATTATAGTTGAGTTGTGGTTAAATGTGAAAGTATAAGAGGATTTTGTGATGTTTAATTATTTATTTGGGTTTAGAAACATGCTTTTAAGGATTTAGAATGATGATTTGAAGTTTGAGGCCAAATTTCTAACTCATATGATACTTTTATGTAAATTTTTGGAATAGAAAAGAGGAACATGGTAATACTAAAAATGGTTTAGAAGTTAAATATAGCTTGTTGATGTTTAAATATATTAGAAGAGAGCTAGAATTTTTGTTTAGTCATACTAAACATAGATTAGTATAGCTAATGAAAATTAGGAATATAAACTATACTTCCTAACTTTATGGCTAGAATTGTTTATTAGTTTCAATGCTACATGATGTGAAAATTTATTGTAGATTGTATTGGTAAAGATTGTGGAAGAAGGAAAATTGTAAAGGATAAATTATTGATAAAGCCACAAGATAACAATGCTTTAACTTTTGATTAGTGTTGCCTACTGTTATTTAGAAATGGTTTAGAAGTTAAATATAGCTTGTTGATGTTTAAATATATTAGAAGAGAGCTAGAATTTTTGTTTAGTCATACTAAACACAGATTAGTATAGCTAATGAAAATTAGGAATATAAACTATACTCCCTAACTCTATGGCTAGAATTGTTTATTAGTTTCAATGCTATATGATGTGAAAATTTATTGTAAATTGTACTAGTGAAGATTGTGGAAGAAGGAAAATTGTAAAGGATAAATTATTGATAAAGTCACAAGATAACAATGCTTTAACTTATGATTAGTGTTGCCTACTATTATTTGTGTGATTATTGAAAAGATATATTGAGAAATTATATTGATATGTTTATTAAGCAAATGTTAGAATTATAGATATACATTTTGAAATATTTTTGCCAAGTAGCATGTTATGTTGTAATATTGTTGACAACGAGAAACTTTTGAAGGCTTGTGATGTTCTTCATTTGTGC